CCTGTACGGCGTAATTGAATAAGTTTAAAGCTAGTGCAATTTTAATACAAGATGGCAGATTTTAATACAAGAGGACGAAGACGGTTAGATTCCGTGTTTGCACAATCAATTGCAAAAGTCTTGAACTGGGAGAATATAACATCCTACTGGCTTACTAGATGAAGAAAATATGTTTCGCACCAACCATTGTGTTCACTTCACGCAACTGCAATGATCTGAACGAATCCCAAACAGCTGAAATGATCTGCACGAACTGCAAACAACTGAAACGGTGTGCACTTTCGAAAGGTGGTTAGTTGATGTTGAGCTACCTGTTTATGCCGTACTGACGGTACGGCATGCCGGATGTTCAAAAGGTCTTTCTCACAAACTTTCTGTTAACCGCATAAGATGCGGATGGTCCTGTCCCGACACCAACGGCCTACTGCGAGCACACATTACGAAAGAAATAAAATCAACATTTAGAAAAAAAACTAAAAACCTTACTTTCACGTCAATATTTTGCACAAATTTGGCTTTAACTCGACGATTTGTATCCGGCTGCGGCAGTCATGAGATTCAGTGAAGTTCTCGACTCCATTTTGCTTCGCTTCGCGCGTGTTACGTTGCAAAGGCGAACAACATCAAACAAAATACTTCCCCGCGAAGTTCGAGCCCTCTCCACCGCCGCTTACCGAAACCTAGCGCACTTGTCTTCCGTTGTTGGCGAACTAAATACTGAGAAGTCGATGAACAGTTTGTGCAAACTTTCTCTTGCGAACCGAACGCAATGGATAAGAACTTGTGAAATGTTCTGCAAAATGAAGAACTATTTTCTGGTTAGTCTGCAATTCAATGGATTCTATCCGTGCATAAGTAGGATAATGCATACTGAACTGATAAGTTTTTAGTATTTGAAGAGTGGTTCGAGTTTGGGAAACAAGCACATTGCAAACATACGTATATCGGTTTCTTAGTCAAAGGATAAAACTTTCGGTCTACGACAAATATTTATTTTTTAATTCTACGTCGATTATGTTGCACTGTTAACATAGGATGTTGTCCTTCGTTAGCACATATCCAAACCAATAGGATAAATATTTACGACTCGACTCAGAGAATCAGATTTGCACCTTTTCTCTTGACATTTTGGCATTGCATGATAACCACGTCAACAAGTTATGTTTGCATTTTCTCTCTGCAGCTACCACTTTTTCTTGAATTGAAATACAAAAGATGGAACGGTTTCACACACAAGATTAGTGATATTCATTAAATTTTTCAAATACTAAGGGATAATTAAGTACTTGAAACCATTTATAAATATTTCTTTGCTCTATCCATTTTTTTACCTAAGGAGATTATGCAAAGGTTTTATACTCCTTCGTGGCGCATTTAACATTGAAATTCATACTTGACTTTACACCAACTATAACTTATTTTAACGTTAATTTCTCTTCAGTGTAATGTATTTTTTTTTCGGAGACGGTACCGACTAACTGAAAAGACTACAGAAGAGACATTCAGAATTATTGGATTAATTGAATTATTATCTCTGTACATTCACCCAACAATGCGCGCGATGCCTCATTAACCACATCCCGTAATTGTACAACAGAACGTGCACTTCTTTTGCATTAATACACGATTAGTTTCCTATACAACATTCAATATAAATATAAGGTAATGTCATAATGAAAAGATCAGGAGAGCTAGGATCATTCCAATTGATTGATGTTTACGGACAAATCAACCGCTGCGGTCATTTGTGCAGTTAATATGGTTTTGTTATCCTCTTGGTTATTCCCCACTGAGTGGTGAGATCCGGTTCCAACCTATACGTTGTCTTGCGGGGGATTTTCTCCTAAAGGTATCTTCCCCAGCGGGACATCACCGCAGTCAGGACAAGGTCTAAGCTCCCGACCGGTCTCCTGGCATGTGTGGTACTGTGGCGCATGTTAGTGCGTGTGTAAGTAAGAGGTGAGGATAGGATAGGATAGGATAGGGAAAAAGGAAGAAAAGATGGGTGGCCCATTTGTTAGGGGCATTCATCCGGCATTCGCCTGGAATTAATAGGAGAAATCACGGAAACTACCGACCAAAGCAGCCGGTCTAAATAGTGACTGAATTCGACGTCGCTATACAGCTAAACGCAAAAATCCGTCGCCGTCGTGACTTGAACCGAACGACTTCCGATCAGAGTTGCTTCGGAAGGAGCGACAACGCTGACTCTCGGCAAAACTCATCCCGAATACGAAAAATATTCTAATTAAGAAATGCAAACAAATTTGAAATCATTCTAATATTTTCCTGAATTCAATTAATGAGCTCGGTAACAATAGAACAGAAAATGAAGATTTACATTGTAATGTCTTGACCTCTTGGAGCGGCGGAGGGGGCGGGGCAGAGCGGGGGCCGGTGGGTGACAGGGATGGGGTTGGCGGCGAGGGCAGAGGGGAGGGGAAGAGGAAGCGACAGCGTTGCAGTGCGTGGTGGGGCAGGGGGCGACGGGGCAGACTCTTGTCGATCATTACCCCTGTGCTGCTTCCGAACAATGCGGGCGGAGTTGGGCGGCGCGGCGCACATTCCTCCTCCTCCGACGGCGACTTTGAGCGCGACGCCCCCGCATTCCCAAGACGCCGCCCCCGCGCCCAGCCCCCCCCCCCACGCACGCAACAGCGAAGGCAAGCGGAGGGATTTGCGGCACATGCGTGGCAGGCGCTTTACTACCCGCGGTGCTGGGGAAAATGTTCTTGCTGAGGTGGATGCGGCTATTGAATTGAACCAATTCGATCGCGTCGATTTCCAAGTTGACAACGGCGGAGTACGACCTTTGAGCGGCTTTTGGGCTAGCGTTCAATGTGAAACATCCTCCAGTTGAAATCAAAATACGACTTATTGTGATTCGCTTTGCGCAACTACTAATGGATAATTTATACTTAATTCAAACATAATTTTGCAATAAATTATTAAGTTGTTATGTAATTTTTTTGACTGTATAATTAATTACGATTTTATTTTTATTATTTAATTATTGAGCCCGGCATTCCACATAACTCTCAGCAGTGAAATACTCGCGCTCCACACCTCGGCTACAACTGCGCTGACCTCCCCCCCCCCTTCCAGCACTCCACTCCGTCGAACACTCCCCGCCACTGACCACCACTTCCGCCCGCAGTTCCCGTTTCATGGCATTTGTGCGTTATGAGAATGGAACTTGATGCCATCATCAAAACACTGAGTAGAAATATACAACTAAAACATTTAGAAGTAATTACATGCTATCAGTTTCATTTCAATTGTACATCAAATTATCACTAGTAAATTTAATTATCATTTGTCGTAACTGCATGAACTATATTTTTCTACAATATTTTATAACCGTTGTTTGAATCAGAATGTCGCTCGATCAGATAACAATCAAATTCAGATTATGGTCCCTTTGACACTCAAAAACTGAACCAGTTTGGAACACTTCAGAACCATTAACACCCCAGGTACTTTCAACCGATGGAGATTTTAGATTACGTTTATGGACTCAGAGGGCAATTAAAAGCTTCCGTTAGTACTTAATGTGCTCGGGCATTACGAATCCACTGTTATCTGTGTACAGTTATCTGAGACAAGTCACGCGAAACGTCGCAACGTAAACTCGCCTGTCCTTGGCAACGTTTCCTCCCGCGCGGATTTGCGAAAGCTTTTCGCTGTGAGCTACGGGCGGCTGCCTGTGCGCGAGAATGTCACGGACAAAACGTTAAGCAGATCACTTTAGGGGCAGGTCTACGTCGGACAGCCCTTACTTCTGGGTTACATCTTAGCGGACAAATGAAATTGTTCCACTGAGTGTTCAAAATAATCTAAAATAAAACATAGTCACAAATAAAATTAACTTCACGAGTTAATTGATGAGAAAACTACGACGAAACCTTTAAAAACATTAACAGAAGTATTCTATGCATTTGTAAAGGTTCTTTTTGCGCAAGTTTTGGTCATATTTGCTCTACTTTCTGCATATAATAATATGATCTAGCTTATCCTACCTTGAAAACTACGTTTTGAAGTAATTATTTACATTTATGTCGGAAAATGTAATCTTTGTCAATTTTAAGACAGTCCTTCTTCGGAGAATTTCTGGATATTTATAGAGAAGCAAATATGATAGAGGAGAATATTTCGACAAATAAAAAAGAATTCATTTGAATTTTAGTGTCAAGAGGTGTGACTGTCTACTTTTATGTATTAGCACCATAAGCATACTTTGTGTTTTTTGGGTGTACTTCTAAGAGGAAACTGACATACGATCAAAAGTCAGGTTGTGAGGGGCTCATTCAGTTTTAGGGCGGCATGATATATCCATAACGAGCAAGGATTCAGGCTGTAGAAATATTTACTCACAATTTTCGCCGAGGAAGAAATGACAACTGAGGATGCACAACGGGCAGCGACTTTGAGAGTCTCGACTTCTATTTAGTACCCGCACTGACAGACAGGACACGTGACATGTAAGGCGCTTGGCGCAGTAGAGAAGAGATGATACGCTAGTGAGAAGAATAGGGGTTGCTTCGTTGTAGTGAATGCGGGAGAATTACCCACGTGCGGGGAGCACGTGCACTGACGCGAAGGAAAATGAATGGTAAGTTTCTGAAGAATTACTCTAGAGAAGAGAAGATTCGGGGGGAGGAATCAACTAAAGCGATGTGACTCATCTAATATTTACTCGCCTGCAGGCGAGTGCATAGGATCGGTCCTGTTGAAGATTTCTTGAATTTTTCGATAGAGGAGATTAAAACTGAAGAGTCGCAAAAAGTGGATATGAGGCTTCTCAATAATAATGGCTTACTTACTATACTCTTGGTGTACGCCACGACGACAGAATCGTGTTAAGCGAGTATTCATCCTTGTTTCATAGAGGAAAGGAGTGCGACAGAGGGTAGCAGCAAGAATTGAGGAGTCGTAGGCACTCGTCCTTCCGCTATTGCATTGTTTAGGAAGCGAAAAGAGAGAGGGAGACTCGCACTCACCACGTGCAGGGGGTCGGCCTCGACGCGGCGCAGCACGTCGTGGGAGGCGGCGGCGGCGCCGCGCTGGCCCGCCGTCACGGCGGCCGCCGTCACGCGCCTAAGCTGTTGGTAGTGGTGAGCGGCGGCGGGGCCTGCGCGCGTCTGGCTGCAGCGAGTTGAGCCGTCTGCGAATAGGGGGTCCCCGCTGTTCCACGCCAGCGCCGACGGCCGAGTGAAAGGTAGTCGAGCTGCGCGGCCGCGTGCACGGGTGGGCGGCGTTGCGCGGCCGGCCGCGGGGCTGCCCCGCGGTGCGTGCGGGTGGTGGTGGCCCGGGAGGCCGGCGGGCGGGAAGGGCGGTGAATAGTATACGGCGGCTGTGAAGTGAGGCGGCACCGCGTGTGCGGCATTCTCGCCCGCCGACGCACGGAGCCTGCCGCCGCCGCCCCGTGCCGCCGCCGCGGTGGTGGTGGTGGTGCGGGCCGCCGCCCCCGCCGAAGGGCGACGAGCCGCCGCCCCCGCCGCCCCCGGCCGACACGGAGCCTAGGGACGCGATGGCGCCGTGCCCCGTCAGCCGGTCCTGCAACACGCCAACACAACCCTGTCACCATCGATACACACACGTACATAACGATATTTTAAACGTCACTCAATTGAACTTCCAGAGAATACTTGTCTGAAGCTGGCAGGTTCCTGTGTGAGCCCACAGGCAACGGAAAACGACCCAAATAGGAATTTAGTTTCCTGCACCATCATGGACGTTTATTAAATAACTACACTGCATGCTCTTAATCCCTGACAATACTTTCCCTTTACTATGTCAATATGTAGTGAGACGAGAAAGTAATAATGTAAAACTGTACACATTACATTCTCAGCAACTATGTATAATTAATTGTATTAGGTGGAAATTGACAACTACTTCGATTCTAAGATCTAGTTTGTTAATGTACGAGTACAACCTTTTTCAAACAATTTTATATCAGTTTACTTCTTATCAACAAACTTAAGACATTTCAGAGACAATATTTTGAATCATTACAGTTGCATGACTAATGCAATAGATGACTAGTTTTTCAATGACATAAATTAAATTTTTCAAGACGAGATATATCTCGAAGTATTTTTATTACTGATATTTCAAATTTTAATCTCGCATATTGATGCAAATTTCTTCTTTTATAATCTGTTGTTAGTCTAACCAACTTGAACATTCCACTTTCCTCTTGGTGGTTGTTTGCAATGGTTTCTTGTTGCGTCTGCTAGAGAATTGTTCGTGGCTTCTTTGCGCGGAAAACACAGGTCATACTTTTATCTGTCTCGTCACTGAAAAAGTCTTATTGAAGAAGTATGACTAAACAGTCAAAATTACAATTTAAAACCTACCAATTGTAAAGCAAATTCACCCCATGATATAATTTTGCAAGTACACTGCTGTACATGGTATTCTTGGAATACCGCATTTATTATTCGATAAAACTTCACAAGCAATAAGAAACTCGAGCAGTAAACGTTACATTCCAGTTGCAAGTATTTCCACAATGTGGCAATAAATTAAGCTGCTAGTAACGTCCTGAGAAACTCCTACATCTTCACGATTAAACGACTTGAAATCCATATAACATTTATTGCATTATTTCAGCTTGGATGAAACATAAATATAAGCCCAAAGCGATGTGAGTGAAAAAAATCTTTGCGTACGGTTGATGATCGTGTTAGTAATCGTGTTTATTGCGTACTTGATTTCTCGTGTATAGCATGCACACAAGCTCGCGTTTGCGCCTATCGCTGTAACCATTGGCCGAATGCACGCACTGACTGAAAGTGTCTATATTTGTCGTCAGTGTTCGTTGTTCCCGAGGGCGTTTACCGTGCCCCGGCGTCATTGCTGCGCTGTCCCCAAAACCACTAAACTGAGCAACTATTTTCACTGAACGTTTGGGCTTCAATAACACTCGTGGGAGCCACAAGAGGACCCTTGTATTCCATCTCTGGATACCGGATTCACAACCCGGTTCATCCAAGAGCAATCTGTGGCGGTTCTCTCATTTTCCCGCTGTCCACTTCCCCGTAGATTCCTCGTACCACTATCACTGTGTATGTTCTGGTCGTAAATCAAAAAGCATGAATAGTTAATATTGTTCTGAACAGCTTTTACGTAAAACAATTTACTATGAAATAACTATGTTTTGGCTAATATATAGTAGTTTGAAAATGTAAGAAATTAGGAGATAAAAATGTAATTTTGTAAAATCAACAGTTACTAACAAATATGGATCCCTAAATCGAATTATATAAAAAATGTTAACGTATTTGATTTCTTGTCCAATTTATTAATAGTAAGGACTTTTCTTTAGTTTCGGCCAATACGAAGACGACATTTCAAGTGTCAACGTTTCGGCTTTTATCGGGGCTATAACAAAGGGATTTGCATTATTCACTAGGTACAATAAGTTGAATACTCCTGTAATACTAGGCTATATAAAAATTTTGAATAGTCATCTATAAATATTTTGAATAATGGCCTTCTTTAGTCCGGATGTTTCGGACTTACCCACATTCTACCGATCCTTCCTTCCCACATACTCCTTCATGCACTTTAATGTATTGAAATAAAAGCCAGAACGTGCTACAAATGAAAGCCAAGAATTTTAACGTTTCCGGTCCTTCTTCCCCATAAGGGAGAAACCTTTTCGAAAAGATAAACATCAATTTTGCCTCCTATTTGTGCCTTTCCGAGCAGCGAGCGCTTCTCCCGCCCTCAGCCGGTGGCTGCCAACGGCCACCGGCCACCGCCGGCGCGGCGTTTACACTCGCCAATCTCCGTTTACGAGCAGCGGCTCCTGTCTGCATTGGCGCTAACAAGGGCCAGCAAGCGCCACGCAATACGCGCCCCCCGACATCCGCCTGCGCCCGCGCGTCGCGTCGCGTCGCGTCTTCTCGGAACGCGCGCCTGCAGGGAGAGCCGCTTGCGTAAGGCGCCCCCGCGACCCCCTCTTAGGCATTCCATAAAAATCCGATCGTGCAGGCCGACGCGGATGTGCCTGCGCGAGACCACACTCGCCGGCTGTGCAGGCGGCGCGGCTGCAGCTGCCTCGCTCGCTGTGCTTCTGCCGACATTTCGGGCAACGTATTGTGAAGCCATCTCTACTGGGGTTTTCGCCCAGTTCCCTGATCCTTCGAACAGACGGCCCCTGGTATTGTTTCTGGGCGTAAATGAGGCTTCGCTCTTTGTGCACGTCTTCTGTAGTTCAGTGGGAATGCTTATTTCACTAATCGTTCTCCCCGTTCTTACAGGAGTAATTCAATTCCTTCACGAAGTGCACGATAGGATAACAGTCAAAGTCTGTTGCTTTTTGCCTTTGCGAATAGTTTTATTGCGTAATATTTTCTTATCAACTCTTGTCAAAAACGCGTGTTGCTACCTGTATTCATTATGCAAACGAATGTAGTACGTCAGTTAGCTGTTTTTCATATCCAATAAATAAATAAACAAATAAAACTCTCTTGGGGTTGAAATTCGGTATTTCGAATTTTTTCACTTGCAAGTGTCTTCAGAATATATCTGCATACCGAAACAGGTTTGATACAGACGTCGGTGTATTGATTCTAAATGAGACATTTTTATCAGCAAGTTGCACTAGGGCAGGATGCAGTCGAAAGAACGCCCTGCAATTGCTTTCTCAATAAAAACCGTCGACCGCCTAGCCTTTCGTCCGTGACAGCGACAAAAGAGGTCGCCGGCAGGTAATGAAGTGCTCGGGTGTCACTTGCGACGCGGTGGCCGTTTGATGAACTTCTCGCGCGGATTCCCGGGGCAGCGCGCGATTTAAATTCCCCGCGATCCGAAGCTCTACTTCGTCGTTAACGAGGCCTACGTCTCCGCACAGCAAGGGAATTTCATTGCTGCCTTCTGTGGACTCGCCTCAGCTCATTTAACACCACTCTCAAGGTACGAATGAGCTCCTTACGGTAACAAGATTTCACGTCCAACATATTTTATTTTTTTGCCTTTCGCATGAGTAGGTAGAAGACAGGGGGTAGAGATGAGCTTAGAGGAATAAATTCTCGGAAAACAAAAGAGGTTGTAATCGTTATAATGCATCGTGGGACAAAAAATGTAATTCGTCCACAAAATTGTGGTTTTTCCTCCTGTGTTTGCAATCACAAACCAGGTAAGTTATTAATATTCCCGCTTCCTGTCAAACATAACCAACGCGCTTATCCAGCATAGTTGTAAGACATTAAGAACATGTAACACATAACTAGTTCATTCGTCCTTTTCTTCTTCAAATTAAGCACGCATCGGCTTGGTATACAGAAAATTATTGTCACGACAAAATCAACAAAGGCTCCATTCCAAAGCATGTGCGTGATAACTTGAAAGTTGGACACACAAAATTCATTTTTTACCCGAGAGATAGAATTTCTTTGACGTCAAAGTAGCTTTATTTTTTTATAATATGTGATGTAGTTGCAAAAAATGTATAAAAAACTTCTTTCATAAATGCTGAATTTTTACCTTAATTAAAATTGTGAAGAAGACTCTGGAACTTGTTTTCATTATATACGCACTAAATTATCATTTATTATTTTGAAATATTCAACGTACGTATTGTGACTTGGTATCACATTCCCTTTTAATCCGTGAATTCATCAAATATTCGTAAACATGCCAACAATTTCCTGAGTTCCTGTACTTATAGCATTCAACAATTTTAATTCAGTCTATTTTAAACTCCACACGTTATCATCCAACTATTCCGAGCAATCTAAGCAGTCAGTGCTTTGGATAGGAAGAAACAATGCGACAAAGAGCAGTGAAGGTGGCGCAGTGGGATTGGCGCGCGGAAGGGAAGACGCGCAGACCCTGCCAGCAGCCGGGCACAGGCGCGCGTCCCGACTGCATCCCGCGGCTAGCTTTTTCGAAACCAAATTACCTATTTCCCCAAAAAGGACAAAGCCCGGTTGCATCGCTTCCGTTTTCCTCCTTAGTGTAAGGATTTATTTCTACGTTTACTGTGGTCTGCTTCGTAGTATATTGCTCAATTACAATTGATCCACTACTGTCTACTTTTAAGAAACATTTCCATGCCCTTTTAGAGCACTGCCAACTTTCAAAACCACCACCTAAAAGTGTGTGAAAACCAAACTTCAAACCAAGAACGAGCATCATCTTACGTACACAATTCCGAAGATTCTGCCATTTTCATCTGTGTTCGAGTTTTCTCTGGACTGGAGCGAGAACATTTATATGCGCTACATGAACGGAAACTCAACTACCTTTTGACTCCTTCCGAAACTCCGGATGAACGCAAAGGATGCGGGGTGCGGGGAGCGCCGGCCGCGGTGGACGCGTTTGCTCTTTGCCGAGCGCCAACAGTCGGAGCTCGCCCCACAGGGCGGCCTTCCACGCCATACGAGATACGGAAACTTATTGTCAGTTCTCATACCGTTTAAGTCGAAGCCCTACGTAGCACACTGACATTTTATTATTTACCCAAAAAATTAGTTGTATTGACTCAAAACAATAACAGAGTTCATTCCGTTGGACCTTTCTGGCCGGAATCGCAACTGTAG